CCTCCCGCTGTACTTCTCGGAGACTTCAACCTCCAGACAGGGAAGATAGACGAACTAACATCTCTGTTAACTGCCTTTGCTTTCTCACTGTCTCCGTCCCCACCAACTCATAAAGCTGGCAATGTCCTTGATCTCATATTCTCAAGGAACTGCGCTACTTCTAACCTCTCTGTAAACCCGCTCCACACATCCGATCACTTCTTCATTTCATTCTCTCTACCCCTTTCCAAACATAACAAAATAATCTCTTCTCATCCTGCACCTGTCCGCCGTAACCTTCGTTCCCTCTCCCCCTCTACCTTTGCCTCATCTGTGCTCTCAGCCCTCCCTTTCCTCTGACTCGTTCCAACTGCTGCCTCCAAACTCTGCTGCAGAAACTCTCCTCTCTACTATTTCATCCTCTCTGGACTCGCTCTGTCCTCTCACATCTCGGCAGGCTCGTCAGTCCCCTCCTGCTCCCTGGCTAAATGACGCACTGCGTGCTAATAGAACCGTCCTTCGGGCAGCAGAGCGGAAACGGTGGAAATCCAAACACCGTGACGACCTCCTAACCTATCAGGCTCTCCTCTCCTCTTTCTCTGCTTCGATCTCTCAGGCAAAAAGCACTTTCTTTCAAGATAAGATCCAATCTTCCTATTCCAATCCTAAAAAACTATTTTCCATCTTCTCCACCCTCTTGGACCCTCCAAAAGCTCCTCCCCCCTCCTCACTTCTGTCAAGCGACTTTGTTACCCACATTGAAAAAAAGGTTGATGATATTCGCTCTTCTTTTTCTGACTCACCTTTACTCACCGCTGGGTCACCAGACCCTCCTTCCACCAACACACTTACCTCCTTTTCCCCTCTCTCTCCAAGTGAGGTTCTTACCCTCATTACCTCTGCCCTCCCTACCACCTGTCCTCTGGAACCTATCCCTTCAAACCTCCTTCAGACTATCGCTCCTGATATTCTACCGTTCCTCTCCCATTTCATCAACACTTCTCTAACTTCTGGTCACTTTCCAAACAGTCTCAAGGAGGCAAGAGTAAACCCTCTCCTAAAGAAACCCACTCTCAACCCGTCAGATGTTATAAACTACAGGCCTGTCTCTCTACTCCTGTTCCTGTCTAAATCACTTGAACGCGCTGTCTTTAAACAACTCTCCTGTTATCTCCATCAGAACAACCTTCTGGATCCGCACCAGTCTGGTTTCAAGGCAGGTCACTCCACAGAAACTGCTCTCATTGCTGTCACTGAGGAACTGCACACTGCCAAAGCAGCATCCCTCTCCTCTGTCATCATCCTGTTGGACCTGTCTGCTGCATTCGACACGGTGAACCATCAGATCCTCCTTCGCACTCTCCAAAAACTTGGGGTTTCAGGCTCTGCACTTTCCCTCATCACCTCATACCTGAAAGACCGTACCTACAGGGTGACTTGGAGAGGGTCTGAGTCCGACCCTTGTCAATTAACTACAGGGGTCCCTCAGGGCTCTGTTCTTGGTCCCCTCCTCTTCTCCCTGTACACAAACTCGCTCGGATCAGTCATTAGCCCGCATGGTTTTTCATACCACTGCTAAGCTGACGACACCCAATTAATTCTGTCCTTTCCCCGCTCAGAGACCCAGGTCGTCGCACGCATCTCTGCTTGTCTAGCTGACATCTCTCAGTGGATGTCTGCTCATCACCTCAAGCTCAACCTTGACAAGACTGAGCTGCTTTTCCTTCCGGGAAAAGATTGTCCCACTCTTGACCTGACTATCAACATCAGCACCTCTGTTGTTTCCCCGACTCAGACTGCAAGGAATCTGGGTGTGACCCTAGATAACAACCTGTCCTTCACTGCAAACATCGCTGCTACAACCCGCTGCTGCAGATACACGCTTTACAACATCAGGAAGATACGCCCCCAGCTGACTCAGAAAGCGACTCAGGTTCTGGTCCAGGCTCTCGTCATCTCACGCCTAGACTACTGCAACTCCCTCCTGGCTGGTCTACCTGCATGTGCCATCTGACCTCTGCAGCTCACCCAGAATGCAGCGGCTCGTCTGGTCTTCAACCTTCCTAAATTCTCCCACACCACTCCGCTCCTCCGCTGCCCTTCACTGGCTTCCGGTAACTGCTAGAATCCACTTCAAGACACTGGTACTAGCTTACCATGCTGCGAATGGATCTGGCCCTTCGTACATCCAGGACATGGTTAAACCGTACACCCCAGCGCGTGCACTACGCTCTGCATCAGCCAAACGACTCGCTGCACCCTCGCTGCGAGGGGGACCCAAGTTCCCATTGGCGAAAACACGTGGGTTTGCTGTCCTGGCTCCAGGATGGTGGAATGAGCTCCCCATTGAAATCAGGACAGCAGATAGCTTACACATCTTCCGGCGCAAACTGAAAACTCATCTCTTTCGACTCCACTTCGAACGATAGAACTATTAACAAAGCACTTATATACTAATAAAGGATTGGCTTATCTAAAGCCAGTTGAGTAGCACTTGAAATGTTTGGCTCTATGAAACCTGATGTACTTATATGATTCTGTTTTCTTCAAGGTTGTGTCTTCCTGGTCGAATGTACTTATTGTAAGTCGCTTTGGATAAAAGCGTCAGCTAAATGCAATGTAATGTAATGTAATGTAATGGACACATGTTGATGTAGAAGAGACATGAAGAAGAGGGGACACATGTTGATGTAGAAGAGACATGAAGAAGAGGGGACACATGTTGATGTAGAGGAGACATGAAGAAGTGAATTGAACACAATAGGTGACCTTTAAAAGCAGCTTAAAAAGGTCAAACAGGGTCAAAATGAAAGCAGGACTTACTCGATGGGTTTCCCTCTGATCTCGGCCATGATGGCGCTCTCTCCTCCCAGATACTCATAACACAGACTCAGGAAGTTGTAGATGACAAAGGCTGTGTCACACAAAGAAACATACATTTTGAGTTTTGGAAAACAATGGATCATTTTAACAGCCACCAAAACATATTGATGCTCCACAGTGACGGCAGCGTTCGGTTAGTTATACAGCGCTGGCATCACTTGACGGTCATAATGACGGTTGTGTTTCGCTGATATTGTTCCAGAACTGCTGAGCTTGCCATTTCACGGCACAGAGGTGAGTCAGCCCCAAGAGCAGGCTCCGATATGATCAGGTCATGTTTTGAGGTGTAAGCATAATTGTAAGGGACGCCAGTGAAAACGCTGCAAAACAGTAATGAAAGCTTGTAGTCACACAAACATCAGATACAGATCTTACATGAGCCAACGGCAAATATTATGGGCTGTGTTATTCACCTGTGTTATGTGTTAGATAACGGCCCATGATAATGATAAGGACCATACTCTAACGTGATGTTCTTGTGTTATTCTTCCCAGCATCATTTATGTGGAGCTACACCAGGTGTGTCTCTAATCCTTTATACCTGACCCTGCTGTAAACACGTCTGTCATGGATGGAGAAAACTAACAAATGCAATGACACCGACTTAACATTTCATTTGTATCCTTATACATTTAGAAAGATAGTTTAATAAAGTATACAGGACAGTAACATCATCCAGAGGTGCAGTGAGGATGTATTGACTGGACATTGACTTTGAGGCGATGAGTGCTAAAATGCTAACTCATTTCGAGGTTAAGGACTCATTCCTGCACCACTCTTTTCTGCAACCAATGACCATTTATGGAAATGTTGTTGAGGAGTAACATACAATTGAAATAGCCCTGACTGGACTCCTCAGTGATTTCAGTAATTGGCGTCCCCGAGAGAGCAGAGTGTTTGTTCACCAGGTGTTCTCAGGCTCATTTACGGCTTTCCCACAGACACCAGCTCTGAGTCCAACAGTAATCTGTGATTTTAAGCACACTGGAGAAAACCTGCCAGAACACTGCTGCCTTTGTTAACGTCGCACAACTACATACAGTATGGTTGCACTCTCAAAAGGTACTTTCACTGCCTTTGAGCTTGATTTCACCTTTCACACAAGCACCATAACGGGCACTTTATGGGCACCCAGATGTGCAATCTTTGACAAAAGCTACATTGGTTGTGTGCAAATGTGTAGCATTCAGTCTGAAGAAAATGTTACCCAAGGGGATATCTTTAAATTAGAAGCAGAGAGTTTAAAATAACAATTTGGACCGATTACAACGTTTTTTTGTTTAAATTGTTGTTATTAAAGGTGGGGTAGGTAATTCACTTCAGATACACTTTTTGTTATATTCCATGGAATGCTCTTAACATCCCGATAGCAATGAATACATGAAATGCTTTGACAATAAATACATTAAAACATTTCACCTGTGGAAGCCGTGGCGCTGTAAAAAGCTCGACCAATCATCTGAGCCGGCCCGGCTAAAGTAACTGGATGGCCTACCTGCCTGTCAGCCTTCCATCTGTGCACAAACTTACCTCGTGCCCTCATTGGTCATGAGCGCGTTCGTGTGTGTTGGAGGAGGGGCTCTGTGAGGAAGTCTGAAGGAAATTCTAGCGCACTCGAGCTGGTTTTTCCATTCTTACCTACCCTACATTTAAGTACTCTTTTGTGCCCCGGAAACAAATGAATCTTTAGCACAAATTCCTCGTTGAAGAGTTCAAGTAATTTCTCACAAAGAGAAACAGCTGATAGCAAATATCAGCTGTTTGTCATTGTGAGAAATGACTTGAACTCTTCAACTTCCTGGAGATCAACTAATCATTTCAGCACTACAAGCAAGTTCAGGCCATAATCCTTATATATGTGATGATGGAATAATAAAATCTAATTGCCATCAACGAACAAAAGCATGTTATATAATGTATGCCTTACTAATTCTAGTGTGGTGAGATAAATGTGTTCACAAGTGATATGCCATTTCAAGTCTTCTCAAGGATTTGCTCGTCTTCATACAGTTGCTAGGAAACCAGTTTCCCCTCCCCTGCAATCCCAAAGGGCCGCGGAGACATGAGGACAAAGATGGCGACCTTTGTAAATGAAGACACCACAATGGCCGCCTGCCGCAGGGGCATTTCACGGAGGGTAAATCCTCGCACTCTCATTTCAGCTGGCAGTCAGAAGACACATAGCAACACAAAGGGCTCCATCACAGCGGGGCATATTCTGCTGCTACAATCAGGAAATGTTAGCGCTTCTCAGTCCTCTCACCTTCGTAGCAGTCCCGGACTGTGTCAAAGTAAACGTAATACTCCTCATTGGTGAAGAAGAGAAGGCTGAGCCACGAGTCGAAGGCGTAGATGGGGACTATGAAGAGGATCCTCACTATGTGCCTCTGTTCATTAGGAGAGCTGTAGTAACGCAGGTGCATGTAGATCTGAACAAAGGAAGAAAACAAGTGACATGTAACATCTTACTTTGTGATCATTATCTTTTCAGTGAAGAGTGTCCACCATTTACAAATACCTATTCGATGTCCATTGAATGACTTTGTCACCGTTGGTATTCATTGTTAGTGTATATGTGTGAGGGTGGTGACTGAATCCAGCATGGTCCTCAGAAGAAAGACCATTTTATTGTCAGAAGTACGAAGACAATTTTATTGCTGTCGCTTATTTTGACACAGACTGTGAGGCAGCACTTTGGATTTTTTTAATCTACTTAAAAGTACACCGGTTGCCGAACAGATATATAGAGTGTGTTTGAAACAGCAATGCATATTTGCCACATTAATAAATAAGATTAAAAGAGATAATTCATCAGCTTCATCCTTTATAAACCGCTGCTCATCGTGTGGTGTATGAATCAGTTTGACTATAACTAGACGATGAAGCCTCAGTCAGTAAACATTCTCCTGAGCTGGACATTGGAGAAGTGTTTGTCTAAAAGGTGTGTGTCAGGCTTGTTTAGGGTAATTGATCCTGAGCTTTCATCAGTCCTATTGAGAGAAGCAGGAGGGGAGTGGGGGGGGGCAGCTCCTTCACTCTCACACAATGTCCCACCTATCACCTTCTGCTCCGTAAACACACACACACACACACACCTTTGGTAGAATAGCAAACAGTGGGTGACAATACACTGAGCGAGACAGTGCACTCCACTCACAGGGCTTGTTGCTAGGTGACCCTCCTGCA